GCTTCAGTCATCACATTAAAATTTAGAATTACAGTATCGTGCTTCTCTTATTTCATAGCTTTCAACAGCGCTGACATTAAAGCTATAAAAAGGCGCAATGAATAATGATTTTGCACATAAACCGATAAGACTCTGCTGACAGGCCGTAAGTCAAATAATTAAGGAAGCAAGCAATTTGAAACTGACAAATGGCCTAACTAAACTTTATGAGCAATTTCATAATAGAAAAAAAAAACTGCAAACAAATGCGGGTGTGTGCTTTTCCCCAAATATATAAATGTGCACCGTAAGCACATCAAGCACTTTAAATATAAAAAATTTGAATCGTTCTAATTTGCATCTTCAAATAGCCATTGAGGGCTTTTTAAGCAAAAAATATTATTTATTTAATAAAAATTAATATGTTCACATAATGAAATTTGGAAATAAAAAACTAGAATCTGTATCTCCAGGTTGTCCACTAGATTTAAGTTACGGCAAGAACATTTCTACTCAAAAATTGTATTCGCGCTTGAGGACCGTTTATTTTATTAAAATATTTAGAAACCAACAATTACTCAATTCAACAAAATTTAGACACCGCAATAAAATTTTAACCGCAATAGAAAGATTTTCTTTTCTGATTCTGAATCTGTTTGGATCATCGATCTAGGAAACTAATATTTTCAGCAACGTATAATTTTTTTAGTGAAAGGAGAAAATTCTGTAAAATTAAAAAAATATATATATTTTTTTTGTTTCGCACGGACGAATAGGGTTTTAAAATGCACTTTTTATTAGTTTTATTTTTTTAAGCTAATAAGGTTAGAAGGATGAAATTCTAGGTTATGGTACTCGACCAGTCCTTAATAAATAACTTTTTCAAAAACTATACTTGTAAAATTTTAAGGATAACACTTTAAAAGGATATAAACGTCCTTATGCACCAAAAAATTTAATCGGTTTTAATTCTACAAATTTTGTACCCATACTGTTTTTCTACCTTGAAGTGAATTTTTTTAATAATTTTGTGAATTAGTCATATTTTTCAAATCGCATAGTTCTTTAAAAAAAAATCCTGACGTCAGAGAGAATAACTATAAATGCAGTTTTACTATATTTGGCACATATATTGATTTTTCGTGTGTAAGATTTACTGTCGCGCGTTGTACCTATTCTGTCGAAATACAAAATAAAATCTAAATTTTTAGATTTTGGTCCCAAAATTGCCACGCACATGTTGTTCTTCATTTTGTTAACTTAAGTTCTAAACCTACCAAAAAAATATTTTCACTCGATGGGTATTCGTTCTACCGGATTCCGCGATGAAATTTACATTTTTGACACCTTGCTAAGTGGGTCTGGTACGATAATTCGAAATTTAAAATTTCGAAACTAAAATACCAAAAAAACAAAATGTCGAATAGAAATATTTCTAAAGCCGCCAAGAATGTCGTGGAAAAAACTTCGAAACAAAATTAAATTTTTTAGGGACATATGAAAAATATTCAATTAAAATCATTGTATAGGCTTACAAGTATGGAAAGCGCCATTTTGTTTGTTTACATTTGAAAACAGCTGAGGTCACCTGATTTTCAATTCTCTCATTCTCCGCACAGAGTTACATTGAAGTTTCAGAAAAAACTTTAAAATGTAAATTGAGAAATATTTTAGAAAAATGTGCTTTTATTCATTTGAATTCAATAAAAAAGAAATTAAAAATGCGTGCCAAGTCTTGCATTTCCAATAATAACGATAAATGTGTATGTTCCAGGCAATAATTTAAAATATTTGTGAAACTTATTGTTTTGCGCTAAAATACAACAATGTGTGTAAAATTCGTTGTCATTGCTTCTGTTTTGAATATCATATTCGTGCCTGCCGGTGGAAAAAATAGGTAAATTTGCATTTATTTTCAAGAAAACATATAAGTTAAAATATATTTCTTTCCAGAGCGACATACGGACAAATGAGATGATAAATTTGTATGATGAATATCGCGGAAAAACTTTTGTATCAAAATTTCTATTCTAATTTGCTTTTGAATTATGATATCAACAGGGATGATTTGGGACGTATTTTTTGAAGGCAATTTTCTTATAAATCTTGAGATTGTTGATTTATTTTAGAATTAAAAAAAGGTAGTTTATATTAAAAAATATATTTACACTAGCAGTATGTAAATTACTTTTATTCCGAATTGAAATGATTTTAATGAATATTCATGGTTACCATTAATAGTAGTATGACAGTTAGATCTAAATGCATATTTGACAAGAAAGATAGAATACAAGATTGCGCCGTCCTGGCGGCGATGACATATCTGTACAAAAAGTAATAAAAGTCGAATTGGATGTTGAAAGAAAATGTGAGAACAGCAAATTTTCTTAATAATAATTTTTTCGATAAGGAACGTGTTTTGATTGTGCTAATTTGTAATAGCATTATTCATAAACAATAAAGTAGCTTAGAAAAGGCTTATAAATTGAAAAATGTTTGTAAACGGCAATTTAAAAAGCTTTTTAAAATTTTTATTTTTTATTAATAAGGCAATAAAAATATGTGATTTACAATAACTTTTAACAAAGGAAATACGAAATAAGGTGAAGTGGGTATTAGTGAATTTCAGTGCATTTAAAGTTTCTGAGGTTTCGTTTAACTTTAGATCAGAATTGTCAAAATTGAGAAATTCAAAGTAGCGATACAATAATCATAGAAAAGAAGATTGCGCCCTGCTGTGATGATGAGTAAATTAAATTTACCACAATGAGGAAGAATATAACAATTAAGTGAAAAGATTTTGTTTTTACAAATTAAGTGAGCAGTAACGCGTTTCACGAACGATATTTCAGACAAATCGTTAATGAACAACTATTTTTCCTTCCCGACTGCTTTGGTTTTGGCAAAAAAGCTGATAAGCTCCTGACGGCGATTAAATCATTTCAACCATAAAATAGTATTATTTGCAAGAACCATTCCCTAAAATTGTAACTAACTTTATTATTTATTAATTCCTTTTTGATATTCAGCAATAACAAGATGGAAAAAAATTATAAACCAAAATTAGTAATATTTTTATGAATGTAGTTATAAAAGTTCACAGAGGAAACGCCGGAAAACAATGTATTGGCAACAACA